TAAATGAAAAATAAACAAAATGCTGATATGGCGCTGATATGGTGAAGTGGTGCTGACGTGGCACCTTGTCTCTTAAAGTCTAAAATATCCAAGCCCAAAAATGCTCCACAGTTAACCTAAAAATAATTAATGGACCGAAATTAGACCAAGTGAACTAGAATTAATTAAAATTCGAATTACTGGCCCAATGAAGCCCAAACAATAAAACTGAGCAATTAATAAGAAATTAAGCCCAAATCATTAATTAAAATAAGTACAAGATATGCATTGAAATATCCAAGCCCAAAAATGCTCCATAGTTAACCTAAAAATAATTAATGGACTGAAATTAGACTAAGTGAATTAGAATTAATTAAAATTTGAATTACTGGCCCAATGAAGCCCAAACAATAAAACTGTGCAATTAATAAGAAATTAAGCCCAAATCATTAATTAAAATAAGTACAAGATATGCACTGTATCTCTCAAGTGTTTAGGCTATTGTATACTCTTGAAGCACTCATGAAAAACAAGCAACAAATAGACTTGGCAAGCCTCTAAAATCAACACCTAATACATAAGCACATAAGGATCAAAACGTCATTTTAGGGTTGTAATGAGGCCAAGGACAAGGTAGAGGATAATATATGGGATAAGTAACTACAAACTAGAGGAACTAGAGGAGCAATGGGGAATAAGTCAAGAATAAGCATAAGAAGCAAACCCAGAAACCTTTAATAACCTTTACAATTAATCCTCTTTCTCTTGCCTCAAACAACTTCTTTTTCATTTTTTTTTATTTTTTTAAGAAAGGAAAGATAGTGTGAACAATACATAGTTTTTCTCTCTTTGATTCTCAATTCATTCTCTGTTTTGAAGTTTCAAAGTGTGAAAGCTATTTATAAAAATTTCAGAACTAGATAATCGATTATTTTAAAGGATAATCAATTATTTTTTTCTTCATTATTTCTAGAAACCACTCAAGAACAGAATAATCAATTATTTTGCAGTATAATAGATTATTCCAGAGAGTGCTTCCTAGAATAATCGATTATTTCACAGATAATCGATTATTACAACAAGGTTCTTTTTACCTGTTGCTGGAATAATTGATTACATTTAATGATAATCGATTATTTTGAGTTAGTTTTCAAAAACTCAATTTTATACTTCAAAAATCTTTCCAAGTATTTTAAATCATCATCATACTCACTCTCAGTCAAATTAGATTAAAATTTACTCATGCACAAAGCATACACATGCAAAACAAGCTAATCAAAACAATACAACTCATAAGAACTTATAAGCTACCCTATTACACATCATGATATTCATATCTTCCTTTCTTGACTGATTTGTATCCTTGATTAGCTTTAACTCCTTTGTTATCATCAAAACTCTCATACTCCAAGTCTGAGTTGATTCACTACTTCATGAATCTCAACAATCTCCCCCTTTTTGATGATGACAAACCATACAAGCCACTACGTTTTGCAAACCAACATTCCACATTTTTAGATATGAGTAGCTTATCATGCCTTGTTCATATTTAGTCCTGCAAAACAAACTCAAACCTTTCTCCCCCTTTGGACAACATAAAAAACAAACAGGTATATATATGTCCAGATATAGAGAAATAAATTTTGCAGATTGCACATGTATAGATTTATGTAGAAGAGTCATTTGCTCAAAATCAATGCTACAAGACTAACTTAATACCAAGAAAGCAGTCAAGCATTATCAGCATAGGCATTGTTCCAATTAATCCAAAAAAAAAAAAAGAACTTGTATTAGAGAATTTGATACCACATGAACACATATGTATTTCATACACCAATGATTCCACATGATACATCAGCTACAATAAGCATTATCTCAATTATACCAGCAAATGTGCATTAACATATATGCATCAATCTTATCACACACACACACACACACACACACATATATATATATATATATATATAAATCAATGTTCAATTCAATCAAAAATACATACCAATGCACAAAATAAACCAATATGGAAACATCAAAATTCAAATCAAAGTAACCAAACACAATATATCCAAAATTAAAATTGTACCTGAATTAAAATTGTTCAAACCAAAGACAACCAACATAACCAAATTCAAATGTTCAAACATTAAACTCATTACAACCAAATTGAAATTTTAAACAGAAATTTAAAAACTAAAACTAGAACTTCTAAAATAGAACACTAAAACTCTTAAACGCATCACTTCGAGTTCTCTTGCATTCCAAACTGAGCCTTAATCCTAGCAATCTCATGATCAAGGTTATCAAATCGATCAAGAATACCAGAATAATATGACTCATGTTTCCTTGACATTTCCATCACAACATCAAGCTTATTGATCATAATCTATTCAAATGGAGAAAACGCTTTAGGTTTTGGTTCTTGCTCTTGCACTGGTTCATGCTCCACTTGAGGTGGCAGTTCCTCATCATGAGATGGAACTCCATCTTCATCCATCGTCGGTTCAGGTGCTGGATGAACATCACCTTTGAACACCCATTTATCTTTTTGCTTTAGCGTCCCCATATGATGCAAAGAAGATTTTTCAATTTTATTTGAGGCATGGAGAATTATCTTTTTCTCCCCTTTAAGATCCACACCAGCTTTCTCAAAAATCCTAGATAGCAATAAAGCATAGGGTATTGGACCATCCTCCTTTCTCCTAGCCTTCCAGATACAATCATTCACAACAGACACTCAGTCTATTTTTATCTTTTTCTTAATGACGTGTATAAGAAAAATATCATCTCTAGACATTTGAGTATGGTTATGAAGCCTAGGTTTAAGCATCCAAGCTATTATGAAAGAAATCAACCTAGAGTTTTTCTTCATACCTTCAGCAGCAACCACCTTTTCAGTCCGAGGTGGAGAAGTGCATGTTGACTTATTTGGTACAACCACCTTTGATGCTAGTTTTATGACCCTCTTCTTCTCAAAGTGAGGTGGTGTTACAAAAGGTGGAGGATAGACTTGTTCAATATTTGTTGGTATATCTTAGCCTTGTCGTCAAGCTTGTTGTAGGCTATTGGTCCCTCTTCTCCCTCCTTGTGAAGAGTTTTGGTAACTTTTGTTAGACCACCAGCATCAGACATCCACTCCCTGGAGTAGATTTTCCCTTCTCTTACGCACCCAATGGCTGATGGTGGTAGGGGAGATCCTAACTTCCACGTCTAGCACGGTTCCTTTGAAGAACCTTTGAGAAATCTTCAACGAGTCATAGAACTTCTTTATCAAGCCATGATAAACTACCTCCTTGATATTGAAATATCCTAGGATCCCACAGTCTTCCAGGTTCTTGTAGATGGGTATCCCCCATTCCTCCATTTTTGCGATGTTAAAGTGATGCTCCAGATATATCACCGGCTTCTCCTTCGTGGAGAAGGTGTGAGTACAATCAGTTGCTTCACGCATTTCATCACGGATGATCACGTTTCCAACGTTCTCAACTAGTGCAGCCATTGTAGTAGATGGAGAGATTCTTAGGGTTTGAGTTCAGAGAGAAGGCTTGAGAATGCGAAGTGTCGAGCATAGAGAAGAAGATAATGAGTGCGAGGGAAGTTAAAGGATTTTTTTATAAATAAAAAATCTGTTTTTATTTTTTATTTCCTGTTTGCATAATATGATGTACTTTTCGCCGTCTCGTGCAGAGTGATGTGCAGCTTGCATTAAATTTAGGGTAAGGGATATGTCTTATCAGTTGAAAAATCCTAAATGATGGTTTATTTATTTTTATTTAAACAAATTTAATTCTTTAAATGCGAAAAATGTTTGTTTTCGACTATCCTTAACATATTCATTCGTCTATTATTAAGGATCATTAATTGAAAATATGATAGATTGAATTTTCAGACGCAAAGACCGAATATTTAGACTCATGGGAGATCAGCTAGACTATTCATCAGACTGAATTTTTAAGCATGAAAAGCATACATTAAACACATCAACCCAGGTGACGTTTTTAAGCACCAAAGCCATGCTTAATTGACGTCAAATTCCATGACGTTTTCATGGTTTTTTTTCTTCTTATTTTGCCATGCATATAAAACACGCATATAAAACCTAAACATATATATAAAGCGTCAAAGTACATGACACTAAAACAATTTATTTTGATAAATAATTTTTTATTTAATTTATTTCAATAATATTTTTTATTTATTATGACCAAATTGCCAAATTTAAAACTTTTAAATAGAACGTCTGAAATATATTTATTTATGTATTTAAAATTCAAAATTATAAATATACAAAAGTAAATTAGATTTAAAATCATTTCCCTGCTATTGAACTAAAAAACAAAAAAATTACATTTTTTCCTCCATTAAAATTTCTTCCTCATGTTAATCAAATAACATTTCTAATTTTTTTTCTTTTCTTCCTTCTATTAAAATACTTTTTTCCATTGTTCCTTTATGATGTGGTTCAAAGGTGAGAAAAGGAAAAATTGTAATGAAAGAAAAGGAAAAAAATTAGAAGTTTTGTTTGATTTAAAAAATGCAAAAGAGATTTTAATTAAAAAAAAAAAAGAGGAAAGATAGTCTTTTCTTATTTAATTCTCACACAAGAGAAAAAAAATATTAAAAATTTATTTTTATATTTTTATAATTTTAAAATTAAAAATATAAAGAAAAATATTTTAGACATTATAAAAAATTGTCTTAAATTCTTTTCCTTCATGTCGAAATCATTTGGTCAATAAAATAACCTTTGATTTTACATGGAATTTTTTATTTATTTTATAGTTATATTTTCATAGTATAATTTCCTTTTTCTTATATACTTATGGTTATTTTATTTAATAGTTATATATTTTTTACAATGTTGGTTTTAAATAAAAGGTTAAAATGACGTAGAATTTGTCCTCTTACAAATTTTCGATACAGAATTAGGGTTTATTAAATTCAACCCTATTGCTTATGCTACTGTTGGGTTTTCTTCTGCTATACGATTGAATTTCAATATAGGTAATGCTGCATTACCCATCTTTTCTATTTTAATTTTTCTCTTTCTTTTTTGTTTTTCCTTTTAATTTAAACGCCAGCAATAAAACACCGAGAAATAAATTTACTTTGTAGCTTTATGAATTTGCCTTGGCTGATTGCAATGGTGGATAGAAAAACTAGGGTATGTTCTTTGGGGAATTTTACATTCGAAAATTTCATTTTGCCTGTTTATAGCGTTTCTTCATTTCCCTTTTTATTTATTTGTTGGAGAAAAAAAATGGAGGATGGGGAGTTGTTCGGATAATGGTTCCTTCAATCTTCTTTCGTTTTTTTTTTTCACCTCTTATTTGTCTTCAGTTTTTGCAATGGGTTGGTGTAGGAGGTTATTGTGTTCCCATGTGTGGTTAAATTTTGGAGATGGGTGATGCAAAAGAGAGTGAGGAAGCAGGGCAGAATGTACCCTTTGCTGAAGCACAGGTTCAGCCTGAAGGTTTGGCTGCTCCTGTGTCCGTTGAGGATACTTTAAATTATGTTGAAAATTGGAAGGTGGAGGTAGACGCACCTATGGAGGATAAAAATGTGAAACCAGAAGCCAATTCAGAGTGCATTCCACAACAAAATGTTGTAAATAGCAAAAATACTCTTCACTCAGTCCCTGCAATAGACAGTGTTCAAGCTTTAAATAAAACCGAAGGTGAATATGCATCAGTTGTGAAGACCAAAGCTGAAGAAGTTCCTCAGTGTGATAAGGGCATTGAGAATGATGCTAATGTTTGTCAAAACAATGCTGATGTTGCTGACACGGCTGTAGAGGTGAAGCCGAAATCTTTTGAAGTGACTGATAGTAAAACTCACAATAATGATGACTCCAACTCCATAAACTCTGGTCATCATGAGCCTAATACTCCAGAAGCTGTTCCTACTGATATAAAACCTGAAATCAAGAGTGGATTAGACATTGAGAATAAAATTAATGAAAAGCAGGTTGCTGTTGCACATGTAGATAATGGAAATTCGATCTCAAAGAACTTGTGTTTTTTGGATCCCGACTATTCATATGATGGTAATGAGTCAGGAACAGAAGAGGAGCAGTCAGCTTTTATGAAGGAGCTTGAAAATTTCTTTAGGGAGAGGAGCATGGAATTCAAACCACCCAAGTTCTATAAAGAGGGGCTCAATTGCCTTAAGTGAGTTATTCATGTTTGTTTTAAGTTTTCGTCTATATTTAAATATGGAACAACTTTACGGTACTCTGATATGATCACTTTTTCCTAATACTTAATTGACTGGATATAAGGTTATGGAGATCTGTAAACAGATTGGGTGGCTATGATAAGGTATTCTTTTTCTATTCTTCTTTTGCTAAAGCACTAATACAAACTTATGTAATGAATTTTGTGTGAAATGTATGATCACAATTCACAAGACATTAGATTAGGGCTCTTAATAATTCCAAATAGTGGTTACTGTAAAATTGACACCATCCGTATGTTTCATTGTTCTTCATTTTTGTGGACTGTAAAAATTTTCAAGTGTTAAGATCAGTTCTAGACATTTTAGCCAATGCAAGTAAAATAAACAATTACATGAGCGTTTTTACTCTCTCACACATAAGACCAGAGAGATTTAAACTTCTATTAGGCATTTAACATGAGTTAATCTTTAATCAGTTTGTGAAATACTTTGTTATCAAATAACAATGTATCTAGGGTCTGTTAAGATAAGCTTTTCCAGAAGAACTTTTAGGAGAAAAAATATAGAGGAAAATTAAAATAAGTTTCTCCATAAGCTTAAACTAGCTTATGCTCGAGTTAAAAATAAGATTAGAGAGCTTCTACAAATTAGGTGTGCATAAGCTAATTTTACCTTGTGAAGAAACTTATTTATTTATTTTTATATTTTTTTCTTCTAGAAGTGTTTTTTGGAAAAGTTTACCCAAACTTGTCCTAAAGCATGATATGTTTAGAGTTTGTTTGGATACAAGTTAGAGACACTTTTGAGAGCTTTTCTAGTAGAGAAACTCTCAAAAGTGCTTCAATGCGTGTATCCAAACAGGCTTAGTATGCAACTTAAACATAATTAAAAATAATATACATGGAATGGGACTTGCAACATTTAGAGATCAAGGATTTCAAAGAATGCTACATTTCCATGACAATGGCATTCCAAGAATTGTTATTCTAGATAGGGCGGTATCTCAGACAGCTATCAGTTTGTGGAAATATTTTATCATTTGACTAAATAATTACAAACAAAAAAACACATTGTTTTCACTTTTTTCCTTATTTCAAAGATTTACAGTAAATGGTGAAAACAACACTTATTGGTAGCATTTTTGTTATTATTTGTGAAAATAGAAACATAAATTATTTCGACGAACCAAAGACTCACTAAAATACTATTATGAAGATACCTACCTTCCAAATGCTCTCTTAACCAAGGTTATCAATAAGGTTATACGGAGGATGGCGGCAAGGACCTTTAAGTGCCATATTGCCATGGCGGATGCCATGGCGGTCTATGGCGGACATCATGGCGGACAAAAAAAAAAAAAAAATATATATATATATATATATATATATATATATATATAATATGATGCAAAAGTAGAAAAATAACAAACACAGTCACATATTAAAACCAACAATATAACAATCTAAAATTCATGGCATTTATAATCTATTGATAGTCATCATAAAGAAACATAAACCCCTAACCAACAAAAATAGCCATCAAAACAAAGCAACAATGTTAAAAAATAGCAAAACACAATTGTCATTCCTAAAACTATTTTGTTTAATCCTAAAACAAAGCAACAATCCTCTGCCTCCCCTGACATTGTCGGATTGTCGGATGCGGTGGCAGTTGTGATGGCAAAACTCAAAGGAGGAGGAAGAAAATCTTGTCGGAGGTCACGGTGGGTGGCGTGCAGAGGTGACGGCGGAGGTGGTGGTGGCTCGCGGGGAGGCTAGGGTGGCGTGCGCGGAGGCAGCTGCGGTGGTGGTGGAGGTTATGGTGGCGCGACAGTGATGCAAGCGGAGGAGAAGAGACTTCTTAGTTCTTACGTGATGGTGGCGGCTGCGTCGGAGGCTGCGACGGTGGCAGCTGCGTCGGAGGCGACAACGGCGGTTGAGTCGTCGGCGTCGGTGGCGGTTGCGTCGTCGGCGATGGTGGCAGATGCGGCGTGGGAGTCGGAGCAGTTGCGGGGGGGGGGAGGTTTGCAAGAAAGGGACTGTAAGTGATTTAGGGTTTCTAATGCCCTATTTCATCTGTTGGGTGCCCAACCCAGAAAACAAACCCGGGTCCAAACCAGAAAATAAAAAAAAAGGCCCAAAACGAAAAAAAAAAGGGCCAAAACGAAAAACAAAAAAAAAATGGCCCAAAAACGGCGCCATGTCCGCCACGGACCGCCACGCCAAACCCGCCGTAACGGCCGCCATCTCCAAAATGGCGGAACCCCGCCATTTTCACCCTAAACCGCCATAAAGGATTGCGGCCGCCGCCGCGACGCCGTTATGGCCCCGTTATGGCGCCGCCATAACCGTTTTTTGATAACACTGCTCTTAACAATTCTGAAATATTTTCTGTTTGATTTGAAAATAAATGAATAATAGGTCATGATGCATCTTAACAGTTTGTCACTTCATATGTCACATATAAATTGCATCTATTGAAAATACTTTCAATTCTTAAGTAACTATCATATGATTTTACTGTTGAGCATGTTTGAAGGTTGTTTTCATTAATTACACTAAGCTTCAAGTTAGTTTAGTTCTAAGCAGTTGTTTTCATTGTTGCAAATTTGCCATGATGTATGCCTAATTGAGATTATATTTATGAATAGGTCACCTCATGTAAATTGTGGCGGCAAGTGGGAGAGTCTTTCAAACCTCCGAAGTAAGGAAAAGGAACACCTTAAGGTTTCTTGTCTTCATCTTGTTTTGTAGCTCCAAAAATGAAAAGTTTCCTTATCTTAACATGTTACATTATTTTGGTCAGTTTCTGTTTAAGTATTATTGAAATTTTGTTGTGTGTTCTATCTATTTTACAAGGATGCTTTTCAACTGTTATATTCTGTATTGGAAAGTGTTGAGAGAAATTGAATTGTCCATTTGAGTTCTAATTGTTGATGGAAAACAAACTAGGATGGATGCTTCTATTTAGTTATGCATGATTGATTGATTTTCATATTGATTGTAAATCAAAATGTTGAAGCACTTTCCATTAATAAGATATGCATTTGTTTAATCTTTCAACATTTGTTCTCTAGGCCCTCTCAACTACATAAATTATTTTAGTTCTTTACCTTTTGCTGTTCTTCTTTTCTGGGGCGTGGGGGTGCAAAATGGGTGATTGGATACCAGATGTTATTTATGATATACTAAAATAATGCTATTTTCTCAATTTTTGCAGGACATGCACCACAGTTTCATGGTCTTTTCGGGTTTTTTATGAGAAGGTGATTCTAGATTAATAAGGTGTACATTAGTCTTCAGCTCTTCTGCATTTTCTTTAATGAAATTCTTTGACAAATATGTTTTCAAGATACCCTTGATTGCTCAATATTCCTGTAAATCTTATAAGTGGATCTTTTTCTTTGGAAACAAAATTGTAATGTTGGTATAGATGATGTGCATTTGCCCAAATTTATTTGTCAAATATTTATCATACTTTTCCTGATTGATATTATTTGAGTACTATAGCTATATTGCGTTACAGCACAAATTATCTTAGCTTTATGCTGTGGCCCTGAACCTTTATCAATATATTTGTGTGTCATATTCCTCTTGGTTATTATTCCTACCAGCATTAATAATAGAAATTTTTAAATGACATGTAATAATATACCGTGACATACATAGTAGCATGCTGCATGGAAAATGATTTACCAATTAAAGATGGAGTCATGTATTTTTTTTAAGTAAAACATAACTTCGTTGTTGAATAACAAATTATCTACTAGGAATCCATGGTGTTATCATTAAACTTCCATTATAGTTCTGAAAAGAGAAGTTAAATTATTCTAAGTTGTGCTTAATTTTCTAGAGGCTGTCTCTTTTTGTTATCACAGGAGTACATTTTTTTTTGGCACATATATAAACAGATTGGAATATGTTAAATTTTTGGCGATGTTTTTAATTAGTCTTTATTTGGATTTGGAGATGTCTCTGTTGGCTTTTATATAAAACCAAATAAAAAAAAAATGTAATATCATAAATTAAGGGGCATTTGATAGGAATGGGAAATAAATAATGGAATTGTTAGTTCCAATTATCCAGTTTATTTTTAAAATCTGTATATTGAAATTGTCAAAAAAGGTGTCCTCTCTGACTTTAATTGGTTTCTCTTGTACATGTAGTTTTTATAAAGTGAGACCATTGTATATTGTGAAATGTAAAAGAACCAAATCATGATTAGTATGAATGGTTAGTATAGTATTTAATTTTGATCATTTATGCAATATCCCATGGTCCAGACCAGATGCTTTTTTTGCTTCTCATAAATCATAATAACTGTTGCTGCATTCTCCTAATTTATTTCACTTATCTTGTTACTAAGATGTGTAAAATTTATTAATTGTTATGAACTACTGATTAAAAATTGTATTCATTAAGAAGTTATTGGATGGTGTTATATATTTAATAACTACTGCCAATAACAAGCTTTCTGCATGCTGGTGTTTATTAATCCCTCACAAACAATGACATTTTAATCAAATTATTACTAATTTATAACTAATAGGGGTTTTACCACTACTTTCCCAGAAACATTGTCTAATGCTTCCTCCGTTCCTTTTCTCCCTACATGCACTTTTAACCAGTACATAGGGTACATTTTCTGTTGGCCACAATATCTGTTCTTTAACCATCCTTGTGCTAGAGTTCAATGACATATGGACTTATTTAGTTAGCATTTTACCTATTTGAAAAGTGTCAGAAAACAATCTCAAGTATTGTGTAAAACTATCAACTTTTTTATGTTCACTATCTATTTCATTATTGCTGTTTTTGATATGCTACTCCAGGCACTTCTTGACTATGAAAGACATAAAACAAAAGGTGGTGAGCTGAATCTACCTATTACTTCCCATTCAGAGCCAATGAATTTTGAAAATCAGGTAATATATTTAATTGTGTATATTATCATTTTACAAGCAATATAATGGCCAACTGGGTCAATTTTTTTGTTGAGTTTATGAACTTCTGACAAGATCATTCTCTGAAATGAGATAGGACCTGTTGGAAACGAAAACCACATTTGGCATCTCCATTTTATTATTTATCAATTTCATGCTATTGGTTGTATCCGTAATGGGGTTGAAATTCTCATTCACATTCTATCCTAAAGTTATTTGTTGTTTTAAGGAAGGGACTATTTTATGATCTCTCCAAATTCAAATTGCTGGACATTTTTTTTAATGATTAGTAGTTTTAGCTGTGCTTATATTTTTCACTTCTAAGGATCATTTGAAGATTGTTCTGAAATGAGATAGCATTATTGTCTTGTAGTAGCTGCCTTAAAAAAATTAAATTATATGCTGAGCTGTCTCCTCTCCGTTACAAAACGGCTTTGTCTATGCCTTAGTTATGACTATATGTGTTTGGACATGTTTTGACCATAGAAAGCCACATCCAAATGGTTACAAACGTGATAGCAACAATGGATAGCTTTTAAAAGACGTGGAAAATCATGCCACAAATGCATATGCATGGACGCTGTGTGTTGGCAGACTCTGATTAAAGGATTTAGGATTCCCTACAGTTGAAAAACTACTGCAGGGTGGTACGGTCATGATCCCATGGGTATAAAATATAAAATCAAAAGTTAAGATTTTGTGCAGTTGAAAAAGCAACTGCAAGGAATCCATTTCCCTTATTAAAAGGGTCTAGGTTTAGATAAAATAAGAGGGTTGTTAATAGCTTAATTGAGGAGTGTAGGACCCCAAATATGTTGATAATGGATAATCTACTTGTATTCAAAAAAGAGGGGAAAGGGGAAGGGTTAGAATCAGCTGAGAAATGGGAGAAGGAAATTGGAGGGAGAGAACTGTCTCTCAAATAACTGTGTGAAGGTAGGAAAGGAATCATCTCTGGCACTAGTTGTGTTCTTTGATTTTAATCTATATTTCATTGATAATAGTGGAGAATGATTGGTCGCAGTGAATATTAATTAGTTTTTCTCATACACTGGTCCAGTTAAAGGAAAGTATTGAGTGGATGTTGGGTTTAAGGCATTATTAACCTTGTCAATTTTTGTGTGAAATTTTCTTTAATGTTACTTGAAATTGTAACTTGCAAGCAAGGTTATCAATCTCGAGAGTTTACGTAATCTCGTGAAGGCTCCGTAAACTCGTATCGTAAACTCGTCTTGTAAACTCGTAAGAGATTACTCAATAAAAAAATTATAAAAATAATTAGAAATAACATAATAATTGAACATTTTAACTCCATAGTAAAATAACAAATTACATTAATAATAAAAAAAAGTAAAAATAAGTGAAAACCCTAACCAGAGTCGCGGAGAAGTAGAGTCATGTACTAGCAGAGTCGTGTACTTGAGAAGTCGCGCGACTCGCGAAGGAGAAGACAGACGATCGCACACAGAGAAGAGTGGTTGCGGAGGAGAACGGTGGTTCACGCACGGAGAAGAGTGGTTCGCGAAGGAGAACGGTGGTTTGCGCACAGAGAAGAGTGGTTCGTGGAGGAGAACGATGGTTCGCGGAGGAGAACACACGGAGAAGAATGCGCAGCAGTTTGCCTTTGTCGTGGAGAAGACAGCGGTGCCGCGGAGGAGATCATTCGAGAGTGAAATGAGAGTCACTGAGTCAGTTCTCAGCCCTAACCCAAGACAAGTGTTTTGTTTATTTGAAAAAAAAAGTGATCTCTTAAACTCAGGACTGATCTTGCAATATTACATGAGATCACACGAGATCACCGAGATTACTCAAAAATGAGTTTACTCCTAAGTTATACAGGTAAGCTATCCTAATCTTGTAAACTCGTTTACGAGTTATCACTAGAGATTGACAACCTTGCTTGCAAGGCACTAAATTTTCTCCTTTATTTGTGCTAGGCTTTGCAAGTGGAACTATTTATGTCATAAGTAGCACTACTGCGATAATTATACTTATTTGTCTTGCAATCTCTTTCCTTTTAAGTGTGTCCAGGGTTCAGCATCAGGTAGGGCACGGAGAGATGCTGCAGCAAGGGCTATGCAGGGTTGGCACTCACAACGTCTCCTTAGCAATGGTGAAGTTGGTGATCCTATTATTAAGGTTTGGTGAATTTTTGTGATGGTGACTCATCTTCTCTTTAATTTTATTTTTACTGACAAATAATTGTTTAATACTTTGTTTTTCATAGGATAGGAATTCTTTGTCTACGCAAAAGCGTGAAAAGCAGCTTAGAAGCATCAGTACGGAATTCATCCTATTGCTATCATTTTTAACTTTAATAATTTCTCAATGATTCTAAAGATTCTCCCCCGATACTGGCTCAGATTTACTTAAACGCAAGAAACCTTCAGACATGGATAATGCAGTCAAAATGGCACTTAGTAAACCATCTAAACCACAGTTGAGACACGTTACTTCATTTCTCCTTTTATCACGATTGTGTTGTGCTTAAATTCTTAATCTACTTGTATAATTGTCGATCCATGAAATATGTTATTAATTTATACCGTTAATAGAGGTTTTTACTTTTTCATTTTGATTCATTTGCTGAATTGCCTCTGTTGGTATGTGTGGTGGACTAGATTGGGGATATCTGTGGTAGACATTGGACCTCCTGCTGATTGGGTAAAAATCAACGTTCAAAAAACTGTAAGTTTATCTCATGTTCAGATTGCATATAATGTGTGCAATTATGTAAATTTACTCATCAAATGAAAGCTTTGTTCACAGAAAGATTGTTTTGAGGTCTATGCTTTAGTTCCTGGCCTTCTTCGGGAAGAGGTAATAAGCTATTTTTTTTTTCTATAATAATAGCAGTTCTGCACTAATATTAGAAATTTTGGCTTTATAATTTTCACTGTTCCTTGCTAAATTGGCAAGCATATTAGTGGTGTCAATCCCCCTTTTCATATATAAATATAATGAACTTAAATATTGTATAGCAAGGGCATCTGCAGTTTTTGAGCTACATACCTGCACATCTGCGTGTTTACTTTCCTAATTTTTTTTCTCTTTTAAAAATAAAGATTGTAGAAATTAGATGGGTTTGGGATATGGGGTTCAGAGTTAACGTCTAGTAAAGGGCTTTCATTGACCCATTTTACATTTTCCTTTCTAGTATTTATGTAAGGTTTGTTAGTTACTAAACTTTGCCTTTAGCTTTGGATGCAATAACCATAAATTTAAAAGTGTAATTTTAAGTTACCAAAATGCAATTGAATCGAGTATAATCTATTTACTTCATGAGATCAGGTGCGTGTTCAATCAGACCCAGCTGGACGCTTGGTCATTAGTGGTGAGCCCGAGCATTCTGACAATCCATGGGGGGTGACACCATTCAAGAAGGTAGATTCTCTTTTTATTTTGACGGGAAGGATCTATCCGCCTTTATCATTCTCTTCGATTTGATAACTTAATTATCTTACAATACCTTTATATCTATGGTCTCTACGTGCTGCGATTTATTCTCACAAAAATACAACTTTAATACTTGTGACTGACTTCGGTGAAAGCTACCAGTTTTATAACACGTTAGTAGTACTTGTTAACAAAAAATATATTGTGCTTTCCATCTTAAAACATTAATGTTGGCACATTTTTTAATTCTATCTTTAATGTTTCTCTAGGTTGTCAGCTTGCCTTCAAGAATTGATACTCAACAGACGTCAGCTGTGGTGACCTTGCATGGACAGTTGTTTGTTCGAGTTCCATTTGAGCAATCAGAATAGATAAGGCTCATATGAACTATGAACTAATTTACCATGGCTTATAGGATAATTGACCCCCAAGCTTCCAAGTTCCACTAACTTTGAATTCTGTTAACAATATTTATTTAAAATTTCCAACAAATTTTCTCTGGTCAAGCTTTAAGATTTTAACCATTTCAGCTAGGTAGGGTTTTCTAATTGTTGAAAATCATACCATAATAAAGTGGCAGCGTTGGTAGTGAAATTACAGTTGGCTGTTGATCTTTTGTTTGTAAACACAATACTCTGCTACATTTGCTTCAATATTTCATTAATAAAATCACATTATTAATCTTTCCCCAAATCTAAGAGGTAAAAGAATAACATGATCAATGTTATATGGTCTAGCAAGTATAACTTCTAGTTCTGTCCAATAATACCTCTAATCATGACTCCATGATTAATGTAAGGATCAAATTTTGATCTTTGACAAACTAATATAAATGTCGAATAACTTGAATTAACGATTTTTATTTAATTTAAAAATTATTTTAATATTTAAAAAAAATACATAAAAAGTATAGCTCGATAATTTTCAATTTTTAAACCTAAATTTCCTTTTATGTTCTATATGATAATCTATTAAATCTGAAACACGTTTAGTTGAAATTTTTTCCTTTTAAAACCAGATTCTCTAGTAGGTCAAGATCCCCAACCATTAAAACTATTAATTAAACTATTAAAAAAGTAATTTAAGATTTAAACTGCAGCTCCTGCAGTTATTTGCAGAGGATTAATATCCCTCAGTTGTATGTTCAACAATTCGACTATTTCCAGAAAACGGTCTTGAATATCGCCTTAGCAATTGCAATTGTTTTCCTTGCATAAATGAAATGCGGGATATGAAGCAACTGTCTAGTAACTTACTTTTGGGTCAATTGATTTCACAAACTTGATAAATCGGATATATGATTAATAATTATCTAAGTTAATGATAAAATCTGTATTTCGAAAAAATAAATAACAATACAATTTTTACAAATCTGACAACTTTTCTTCTCACAAAATTTTCTCAAGTAGTTACCATGGAAGCCAAGTCCAATTCTTCATCGGAGTCTATCACCTCTACGTAATCGTAATAGGCATTCACCTGCCCCACAGAACAACATACAATTATCAATTTTATACAAATTTTATTATTACAAACTTCAGATATAATGTAATTAAACCCATTAATTCAAAGAGTCCCTGATACCCTCAATGTATAGAAAATTCATTAGATATCTAGACGATCATATATTCATTGACATTCAGGTGAGTATGATTGTTTTACCTTCGGCCTTGGAGTAACTGCTGAAAAGCCATGAAATGTAGGATTATCAAAATTCGGGGGTTCTAGGACTACATAGGCACCTTTGTTGTTATACCTCTCCTCCGTTGCCTGAAGGAAAATGAAAAACAGTCCAACATTTAACAAATAAAATTATTAATATTTACAAGTCAAAGCCAAAGCCCCTCTCTGAACTCGTCTGCATTCCAAAACTTAGTCGTTGCATTAACCATTATTTCTTCTGAAATGAATCAACGCAAAAGTCCTAAAATCCTAAATCCCAAAAGGAGGGTTATCATAGCTGGTGACAGACACAGTTCGTTTTATTTTGTATAAGGAATAAATATATTAACTAGTCATAAACTTACTCTGACCAGTGGTTGCTATCTATGTTTTATTCAATCGTAAAGCTATGTGGGTAAATCTCAAAAAGAGGAAAAAAAAATTATGCAAATAATACATCTTCAAGAACATAATAACAGGTCCGTGTGATCTTTTCCTTTCGTGAAGTGTTGCAACAAAGAAATGAAATGAAAGAAGTCTCCAAATAAATTTAAGTTACAATTTTCCTATCCTTCGGAATTGTTTCCTCATAAATGCAAGGTAGTCAAAATCGCATGTAAGGACATAGAATCGTCTGATTCAACAATTTCACCCCCCCTACATCCCATAACCCAAACTTAACCTATCTTGTATTCAATATATCACACGACATGAACGTTCAGCACAGGAACAGTCCATGCACGCACCTTTCTTTTCTTATTCTTCACATATCACAACTGCAAGACTGTAAGGGCAATGCTCTATCCCTAAAGCTACCAAAGTCGTTCACTAATTCCATGGATGTCAAAATCGAGTTTTAACTCATAAAAACTACCAAGTTTACAAGTTCAGATGCACCAACCTTTTTAACTTGGTTACAAAATCGTTTTTAGTGGAATTGCGTAATCTCAAGCAAGCTTGAGTAGTAGACATGATCACAATTGCAAGTGTATGCATGATTCAATGTGTCTACAATGGTGACTACATGAGACCCCAAAATGACAAAAAAAAGGGTGTTTCAAGTTAGTTTTTTTCTTTCTCCCACAATGTGTTTCCCGCACGATTTGGTGTGTTGTACTCTAAACCCAAAAATGCAGAGACCATAAGCTCTCATGGGGTGTTATTTGCACGTTTGTCTTATGCTCGTCGACGTCAAATCTCGTTGGGATTCTGGTCAGCATTCTTTGTTCTAGTCGGCATGAAGGTTCTCTATTCTTGTAGGGTTCTCTATTGCTTCTTTGTTGTGGTTCCGGGGTTGTTCTCTTGGTGTCGTGGTTCAAGATTCCCGTGGTTTTGAGTACTCATTTAAGTTAATTTTTAAATGTTGTCACTTTAAGAACTTGTACTTATATTTTTTATGCATTGATTTGGTGTAGTTTGATCTTATTAAGTAGTAATGTACTACTACTAAACTTTGCAACTTTATTATTGTAATTTTCTATTTTACTTTAATATTGAGTTGAAATGTTTAGATATTATATTATTTATAGATATTTAATGTTTTTTATATTAAGTAAACTCAAATGAGTTTATGGAACCTCCACAAGTTTACATAAATTCTCAAGTTTGACAACCTTGTCTGCTTCCCTTAGACTTCTCCACCACATTCGAGGTAATCTCCCATTTCACTACACTATTTTGTTCCATTGCGACTCTACCTTTGTGGTTCAGGACCATTTTTTATCTCTGTATTTGTGTCTCCATTTCTAAATTTCACGCTTCCCATCTATTATTTCAATTTTAGAGTCTATTTTTTTATTATTATTGAAGATGTCAACAACAACATCAGGTGGTGTGGTCAGCCGTCTTTAATGTAAATATGATGTGTTAATAGTGATCAAAATAAGTTTAATGTAAATACCGTCAGAAAGTACTATAAGGAGGGGTTTATCACTTGGCTATAACATAGAAAGATGTTGGAGCTTGCAAGAATGTTCCAAATTAAGTGAAAAAAAAAAGAAAAAAAAGTGGAATATTGTTTATAATTTACAATAAAATTTGATGAAAAAAACAAAATCTAATGTGTTTGAGGATGAAGAGGACGTATAAGTTGGTGATAAAAGGAAGAATAATAAAACTAAAATTGGTAGCTCTTAATACATTTTTAGGAAAATGTATATATGCACACAAGCCACAAAGAATGTCATGTTCAAGAAGGATATGCGAGACAATATGTAAATATATTGCAAGGTTTTCCTACATCAAGCCATACCATTCAATATGGCTGGCAAGGAGTGAAGAATTTGCAATTATGCTCAAGCCTGTTTCAAACCATGGTCGAGGATTTAAAAAACCATCTTACCATGAATTAGAGTGAAATACTTGAAGGAAGAAATTGAGGCTACAAATCAATCTTTAGAAGCACATAGAGATGCATGAAAGAGAACAAGGTGCACCATAATGACTGATTGGTGGACTCAAGAGGACAATATTAAATTTTCTAGTGAACAGTCCAAAGGGAACATTTTTTTCTCAAGTTTGTTGACCAAACAAAGAAAATATTAAATTTTCCAGTGAACAGTCCAAAGGGAACAATTTTTTCTTACATCTATTGATGCATTTGTTGTATTCGAAACAGATGATAAGAGCTTTGTGATGATAGATAAGATTGTTAGAGGTTGGTGAAGAGAATGTTGATGCAATGTTGCAACAGACAGTGCAGCAAACTACAAAGCTGTTGATGCAATATTGATGGCAAAGTGGCCAAAAATGTATTGGGCACCTTACGCAGCACATTGTATTGACTTGATGTTGGAAGACTTTGAAAAGAGGATGCCCATTCATCAAGAGACAATTCCAAAGGGAAGAAAATGACTATTTATATTTATTTAGGAAGCTATCTTGTTTCTCTTCTACAGCACTTCAATAAAGGAGAATAGGGTCTTAACTCGCTTTGCAACATCCTACTTAGCTTTAGGTTGCCTTTTTGAGAATAAAGGACCTTTGATTAGAATCGTCAAAAGCAAGCAATGGAAAGACAAGTTTTCAAATACAAAGGATGGATGATGATTGGGGATGTGGTTCTAGATAACAAGTTTTGGAAGAATGTGGTAATTTGTCTAAGGGGTGCATCTCTAATTAAAGTGTTTTGAATGGTGGATTCAGATAACAAACCAGTCATGGGATATATTTACGAGGTAATGGACCAGGCTAAGGAGAAGATGGAAAAAAACTTGAATGGTGTAAAAAAAAGTACCTATTATTATTAACGTTGTTTTGTGGTTTTGGTTTCAAAAGCAATTAACTAATTAAGCAAGCGCTAATTCTATTTATTTTATTCTTTACTATTTAGTTATGAGCCTTTACGGAATATCATTGATGAAAGATGGGACAAGCAACTTCAATGACCATTGCATGTTGTGGCCTATTATCTGAATCCTGAATTGCATTATGATTCTAACTTTAAAGTTGATTTGGAAGTTAAAGAGAGTTTAATTACATGTATACAAAGGATGGTGCAGGATCAAACGTTGATTGCTGTTCAAATAGAAGATTTCAAGGCACAAAACATGGTGTTTGGTCATCCTATGGCAATTAGGGCAGTTGGTAAGAAGACTCTAGCAACTTGGTGGGAGACTTGTGGAGATAAACATCCAAAGCTCCAAAAGTTTGCTATTCAGGTCCTATGTTTGACATGCAATTCTTTTGGATGTGAGCATAACTAGAATGCATTGAAGATGATAATTAAGATTTCATTTGAATTGTAAATTATGTTAGTAGTAGAGTTACCCATTACCAAATTTGCATTTTTCTTTAGGTCCACACAAAGAGAAGAAATCATTTGAAGCAAAAGACAATGAATGATGTTTTTGTCATGGCTAATTTAAAATTGGCTAAGCTGCCTAAGAAAAAGCAAGCTTAGAGATGATCGTCTAAGATTGAGTTATTTGAAGAGTTGTTTGATGATCTTTCATTCGATGAAGAGTGGATTATGGAAAATGATGACGAAGAAGTGGAAGAGAACAAAGATTTGGATCCTCCAAATCCAAATGAGGATGAGGATGATGTTCTTGGTGATGGGGCTCATCTTGCTAATATGGTTAATGAAGGGCAAGAAGAAGATGATGGAAGAAATAAGGATATCTTAAGTGATTATTATTTTAATTTGGAGGATCTATTTGAGCCATAAAGTTGGTCTATTAGAGGTCTAAACTAGGTGGTTTATGTTGTTTTGTTACTGTATTTTTACTTTATAAGTTGTTTTGTTGGTTATTTCAATTTTGTATGGAGTTTAAATATTGACTTTATTATGCTTATGAATCTGTTATTATCAATTTAAGCTTAATTAAGTATTCCATGTGTTATGATGCCTTTTTCCCCCACTTATTTATACTATGTTAGATTCTGACCTTTCAAATAAATGCTATGTGCCGCAAAAGAGGTCCAACAAAATTTTGTCCTTTTATGCATATTGACAATTGAATAAACTTTTATTTAGTTGTAAATTTTGGTAGTTAAGATCAAAATCAGGTTTACTCTGATTTGATTTATTCTCTTTTATTATGGGAGATTTAGTTGGATGGGATCAATATCAGATTATTCAAATCTGATTTGATTCTCCTTTATTATTTCTCCTTATCTTATCTTTACATTTATTTTGTAATTAAGGTGATTAGGATTTCTTCTAATCATTTTTGTCTATATAATCTCCTCATGTAATTCTGATAAATGTACAAAAATAAATCTTTTTCTTCTCTAAATTATATGGTATCAGAGTTTTGGCTCTGATCCTGTGTTTGCCTACCATGATTTCTGAAAATTCTAGATGCAATGAAGTTGCATCATCATTGTTTGTAGCCTTAAATGGAGAAAACATGAGACAAAAGGGCGACTCCAAGTCACTTCTTTTAACAAAGGAACAATTGGATCACTTATACATCTTTTCATTGTAAATATCAGTTAAGTCATCATCTTCTCCAGCCCAAAAAGGTATTTCCTTTTCTAATGCCCTTGTTAGCGCCAAACAAAATTCTAAAGCTCCATGGATCGGTGATTCTAGAGCTACTAACCACAAGAGAAATTGTTCAAAATTGTTCTCCACATATAGTCCTTGTGCAAGTCATAAAATG